AAACAGTAACGGACTTGATACGTATCTGTAGCATATCCAATTATTATTAATTAATGTTACGTTACTAGGTGTACATTCGGAACTGAATTGGGTAAAGACTATAAATTCGCAGGCACAAAAGTGCAAGATTTGCCATGAACGAAGGCAATAATGAATTTAAAAGATCTCATTGAATGTCTAACATGTATTTTACTTTAAATCACGGTTATATACGCAATGACCAGCATATACAGGGTAGTCCATCGAAAACTTACCGCAAGGCATTACAGGGTAGTAAAGAACTTTTCGGCAAAATCCAAAAACAGGTCAAATTTGTTTCTGAGGGGGACAACTTTTGGCTCAAAAAGCATAGCAAAATCTTCAACCCCCTAAGTGGGGGTGCCATCCCCTAAATTTTTTCAAATGGGAATGGGGGTCAAGTGGGGGGTCATTAGAAAGGGCTTTTAATTCTCTATACATCGATTCTTACTTTTTGAAAATCGATTCATTATTTTAGAAAATATGCAGCTTTGAAAATACGAACAATATTTTTGACGAGAAATGCGAAAATCGATTTAATTTTACTTCAAAACTTACGGTATTAGTCAAGTAAATGCTGAAAATGTTGTCCGCCAACTTGCATACAATGATACAGGTTGTCTTCAAACCGTTGTCGAACATTCTGGAGCACTTGCGGTGTTACTTCGCGACATACATTAATGATTCGTCCTCGCAGATCTTCCAAGGTATCAGGTGGAGTGCTGTAAACTTTGCTTTTAATGTGCCCCCAGAGAAAGAAATCTAAAGGATTTAAGTCGGGTGACCGAGGGGGCCACTCAATTGCACCTCTTCGTCCTATCCAGCGTCCTGGAAACGTCTCATTTAGGTAATTGCGCACATTGAGCGAGTAATGTGGAGGAGCTCCGTCTTGCTGGAAAATCAGTTCGTGTTCATTGTAAGCAGGGTCGTCCTCTATGATATTTGTTAGAGCTGGGTCGATGACATTTTGTAGTAAATCCAAGTACATATCGCCTGTCAAATTTCCAGGAAGGAAAAAAGGACCTACAATGGAATTTCCAAAAATACCTGCCCATACATTCAACTTCTGGGGGTGTTGGGAGTGTGTCTCATGGAAAATCCTTGGATTGGTATCAGCCCAGTAACGACAATTATGGCGATTCACTAAACCATTCAAGAAGAACGTACACTCGTCCGAAAAACACACATTAAAGAGGAAATTATCGTTTATCGCTCGTTCAGTCATTATTTCGCAAAATTGCAAACGACGATCAAAATCGTCTTCATTTAGCTCTTGCACTAGCCGAATCTTATAAGGATGGAATTTGTATTTTTTTAATATTCGTTGGACACTTGTACGACTCACTCCTGTCGCAGTAGCCAATTGCATTGTACTCAGCGTACTATCCATTGCCACTTGCCCCAATACCGCTATTTCCGTAGGTTCATTTAGTACCGGATTTTCAACCTGCCTCTTTTTGTTATGAACGGAGCCAGTTTCGCGAAATTTGGCCACCAATTCGCGAACAATTTTTCCAGACGCATGTTTCTCAGGATGCCGTTGGTTGAACAGTTCGGCGACCCGATTTCCGCATTCATTGTTTTTGAAAAAAAGCTCAATAATTTCTACTCTTTCTGGAATTGAGTACACCATAATTAATCAATTTAAAAGACTCGGCAGTATTGGTACTCTTCAACTACAAGTCACAAGACAGTTATCTAGCAACTTCTTGTGGCCTATCTAAATACGAAACAAAAAGCGGACAATTTTTTGCTCACCAAAATCAGGCTAAAGAATTCGCAAATCAGAAAAAAAAACAGCGAATTCTTTTGAAGGAATTTACCAAGCTAATACCGTAAGTTTTGAAGTAAAATTAAATCGATTTTCGCATTTCTCGTCAAAAATATTGTTCGTATTTTCAAAGCTGCATATTTTCTAAAATAATGGATCGATTTTCAAAAAGTAAGAATCGATGTATAGAGAATTAAAAGCCCTTTCTAATGACCCCCCACTTGACCCCCATTCCCATTTAAAAAAATTTGGGGGATGGCACCCCCACTTAGGGGGTTGAAGATTTTGCTATGCTTTTTGCGCCAAAAGTTGTCCCCCTCAGAAGCAAACTTCACCTGTTTTTGGATTTTGCCGAAAAGTTCATTACTACCCTGTAATGCCTTGCGGTACGTTTTCGATGGACTACCCTGTATATGTGAGCACTTGCTGCATGGCGAAGTGGAAAGATACGCGTACATCATTTCTGCATTCACCGTATATTAATTAATGTTTTTATGGATAACTGTAACGAAATTAATAAAAATAACATTCAATTACGACATTTTTACCAACACTGGATTATACAGAAATACAAGGGACTGTCGGAACAAAAAAAACAGTCTTCAAAATAGTCAGACTGTTAATATAGGATGGTAAACTTTCAGTCAAAAGGACTTTATTTCAGATATTGGACTATACAGTGTGTTTCACTTAAAGTCGGAACACCTCCATATTTAGGATGGCGTTGGCCGGTTTCCAATATTCTTTTTTTTGTGTAATAGTACTCTAAAAAACCTACTTTTTGGTATTGTATTGCATTGCATTTTTTTAAGAAAGAAATATATAACATTTTCGATTTGATCACACCCCAAAACCCTAAATACAAAGTTTCAGTATTATAGCTTATACAGGGTGTTCACAAAATAGGTACAAAAATGTCACTCATTGAAGAGTGTCTTGTATTAACAGTGGAAAATATTTTCAAGGTATTTTTCCATAATTTTATTAACCGTAGATGCATTGATTTTACTCATGATGCTCACAATATGACAGCCAAATTATTATTTTTTTTATTATACCAGAAATGAGCTTCACAAAGAAATAATATTTAAATATTAGGTACTGTTTTTTATTAGCTCACCATTATTTTGTATGCACTGTTCAATTCGTCTCTTCTTATTTCTAATAACTCTCTTCAACTGATGTGGTGTTATTTATCTGCTTGTCTAATTCTTAAATCTTAATTTAAAAAATTAATGTGTTTTGTGGGATTTTACATGATCGAATAATCGAGCCCTTCTTTTTTAACGTTAATCTAAACGCAGAGATGTTTTTGAGATTTTTAAATAATAATTCCTCGGATTCAGTACATGCACTTCTTCTTCATGTAAGACAAAACCACTACCTTCAACTAGATGGAGCGCCTATTTATCATGCGGTAATAGTAAGTCATTGGTTGAATGAGAATTTCCCGAGAAGGTGGATGGTCGCAACAGTCCTTTAGCTGCTTGCACTTGATTTCTTTTTCTGTGTTTTCCTTGTTTTATACATGGCCCCAGAACAGAGAAGATTTATAAGGCGGAAATACACATGCCTCTTGCTTGCACAATAGCATGCAAGTAGCTTGCAGGAGATAGCTCCTGGTATGTGTATCTATTAAAAGGCATGCCTGTAGAAGGCGCGCAAGTAAATTGCACATCATTTGATTTTTTGGCATGCAATGTGAGGCGGGGGGTTTCGGGGGAGTTCAAGTGGCATGTCGGAACGTGTCTACTTGCTACCTACTGATATGCCAATAAGCCATAATACTAAAGAGGCATTCCATTTTACTTGCAAATGTATCAGCAGTGTGCCATCCGCCGGCACATGCCATTTCTCAGCATGCAAGTTACTTACCTATTTTACTGGTATGTGTATTTCCGCCTTTTTATGTAACAGAATTAGACAATCATGTCGACAAATAACACCACATCACTTGAGGAGATTTATTAGAAATAAGAGTAAACAAATTGAACAGTGCACACCAAATGATGGTGGACTAATAGAAAACAGTAATATATAAATTTTATTTCGTTGTGAAACTCATTTCTGGTATAATAAGAAAAATATATAATTTGGCTGTCTTATTGTTAGCACTCTGTATGAGAGAAATCAATGAAACTGCATAGATATACCTTCGATTAATAAAATTATGAAAAAATTATGGAAAATATTTTCCACTGTTAATATAGGACGCTCTTAAAAAATGCCTAATATGTTTTTTAATTTTTGAGGGACTTTTCTTAATGATAATAGGCCGTAGAAAAGATCACATGTCAAAAAATATAACATCAAAAAGTAGGCCTATTTGAGTACTACCACATAAGAAAAGAATTTTGGAAATCGGCCAACGCCATCCTAAATATGGTGGTGTTCCGACTTTAAGTGAAACACACTATATGTACAGTAACAACTGGCAACGGATACTGTCACTCGACTAGGCAAGATTAGACTTGACTATCGCTGACTAAATTAGTCAGTGTTATGAAACAGTGGAATGTATTATTAAAGAATATTTTTTGCCATTTCTAGATAACTTTTTAACTATTTGTCTTTTTATAGGCTAATGGCCTGGAAACCTGTAAATCGAGACAAACTACATTTTTCTCATGTATGCAAGCAGCGCAATTATTTGATCTCGAAAGTCGCCTTATTGATTTGATGACGTAATGAAAATATGTCGTATATTTAGGTAATACTAGTTTATTTTTTAATGTGAATATGTTTAATTCCGTATAAACTTTTAGCTCATATTATAAAATCATGTTTTTTTCGTATTTAAATGCTAATATTAAAAGCCTGCTTAAAAGATTTGTGTCATTTTAGTTAATAAAATAATGTTGAAATTACTAATAATTCTAATAGCAATAATAACACTATTTCCATACTATTTATGTCACAATTTATAAACCACTAAACTTTTAGGCATATAATTTTAAAATTAGTATTCAATTTTTCAGTTAAATGGCAATAAGTGTAAATTTTAATGACGGATTCTACTTGGGAAATTGACTGTAATTTTTTAATTACAAAAAATCTGACTGTTCTAACTTGATGCCCAACTTTCGTTTCAAGCAACGATAGAAGTGGAAAATCAACTATACTTAATTTATTAACAATTGTATTTAGATGTATTAATAATTTTAATATGATTTAAGATAATTTTCTATTTCTTATTATTTATGGAACATACCTGTACTAATTCTCCTAGAATACTACCACCTGCTGTGAAATTTAGATAACAAAGGAAAGGAATCTGGACTTCTGTGGGCCGTTTGACTTCAATTTCGTATGTTGTCCCTACTTCGCCGTAGTATGTCAGGTTACATGCTAAAAAAAAGTTTTAATTAAAAACAGTTTAGGTAAATATAAGATGTTGATTTTGAATGGAACAGTTTGATGGAAGATTCTTGAGGATAAAATAAGGCTATTTAAGGTAATCGTGCCTTGACTGAATTATTTTACCAGTCGAGTTCAAAAGAGTATCTTCACTAATTTCGAGTAAAAGTGATATGCTAACTGAAAGTAAAAAAACTTAAATTTCGAAATTAAAGGGATTTTTCAAGCATGTTGGGTAAAGTTTTATTTACTTTTTGTGTATTCTAAAAAGTAGGTACTTAATTCCACTTCTTCTATTTCTTAAGTGATCTAGAACATTGAAGGCAGTTGATCTTCGATTCATTTTAAGAAGAAGTTTCAAGTAAACAAATATTAAATGGTTGAACAAGCCTCATCGTCAGTTTAAACTGCTTGAGTTCCGCGGATAAACTCTGAAACTTGAATCCAAAGGAGTTTAAGAGATTCTTCTTCTTAAGAAAGAGATATGTCTCCTGAAATGTAAAAAAGTCTAAACCGACGACAGCAATTTGTTAACATTAATAACTTCTACGGAAGCCTATAAACTAATTACTTTAAATTGCATTATTTTTCAAGCGATGAAACGTTTACCCACAAATTTAATTACGAGTATTTCCTTGTAGCCCAGTCAATGACCATTTTCCCGTATAATTTTGCCAAACAGCACCGATTTTCATAAAAATTTGGATTTACTTCAAAGTTGACCTTGTTGCTTTTACCCTGGGGGTGGATGCCATCCCTTCTCGGGGGTTAAAAATGTTTCATTGAAAATAACGGGAATAGATATATTGACTAATTCAAAGCAACTTTTGTTCTATAAAGTTTTTTCTGAAAGTCAATACTTTTCGACTTATTCGAGAGTTAAAGTGTAAATTTTTTAACAAAAAAAATACTTTTTCAGACAGTTTTTCGCGAATAACTCAAAAAGTAAGTATTTTATCAAAAAAAAATCATAGTTATAAAAAATGTAGCTTAGAAAAAACAAAAAGAATGGTGCATTTATGGTGTCTGCAGACCTAATACGAGCGGAGTAATAGCTTGTTGAAGGTTGGTTCTTATTCGTCAAACGCCAAAATTGAAACTTTGAACGTGTAATAACCAAAACCAATGCATTTTGCAAGGAATACTCATAGAATCCTTTTTAAAGTGCTTGAAAAAACCTTTATTCTTATTTTTTATAAAAGTCCCTAGCATCAAACCTAAGCGAGTTATGACGAAAATAAAGTTGGTCCGTATTTTTTCGACGACAAAATACGTGAAAATCATCCCCTAATTACCACTCCAATTGAAAATAATCGTTACCACTTTAAAATTTACTTTATTTATGTACTTGTAATATGCTCTAGAAGTTTGACCGGTTTAAAGTGCTTAGTTTTGAAAAAAGTTGAGCTTGAAGTAGGGTTTGCAATCCCGCATTCCGCGTTACAGCATTCCAGCAATTTCCCGCATGTCAATGAGACCTGCGGAATTCCCGCATTTGTGCGGTAATTCCCGCGCGGGAAATTTTTGAATAGAACACGTCCGTTTAGCGACATAGCGCATGGCGCGCGCGAGCGCCCCGTTTGGTTTGCGTGCGCATCCCGTTCCCCTGTGATAGCATCGATCAATCAAGCGAAAGAAAGGATTAAAATCGGCAGATCTTTGCATCATTCAAACAAATTCCTTGATTCGTTTGTTTATTTTCGAGAAAAAAAGTGTTTACAAAGTAAAATTTTATATGTAACTAATAGTTTTGTCTTCTTGTATGTTACTTTAATTATACTATACTGCCCTACTTCGGAAAAAGACCGTATATGCAGTTTTGTGACAAATTGAGAAAATTACATTTTTGAAATCTATATCGCATTATACATACATTTTAAATTTCTATTATTGTCACTAAACAGACTTATGTATATGTATTTCATTAAGAGGTATATAGTATAAACGCCGCATGTGACCACATACGGCTTTCTTCTCTAGCCGAAGCGTTGAAATACGATGTTTTTAACAAATTAAATTCGTATGTGTTTACATGCGTTGTTTTAAATTAAACAACAATTAAATATTATTTGCAACACAATATATTAAAAATTTGTAAAAAACCCTGCAAGAACATCCAAAATATCATGTATAGGATGTACATGTTTCGGTTCTTCTATTAATTTCTGTTGAAAATGTAGCACATACTGCACATACGGCATTTTTACCTAGCAAAATCTTAAATTTATTAAGAGAAAACAACATTTTCGACGCTGTTTTTATTGAAATTGCAATGTTTTCTAACATTCTTCAAATGCATTAAAAAATATTTGTTTTTCGTTTGCCGTTACCGAAAAAATCAAATTATTACCTTAATTAGTAAATTAAGGACAGCCAAATGAAGTATGCCTAATATCTCTTTGCAATTTTCTCTAAACTGTCATATTCCGAAGTATATTATCGATGTATCTAGCAAATATTTTTTGAAATTGTTACTACGATTAAATTACTAACCTAACCTAGATGTTTATAAAGGACCCCGCACAAACCTTATGGGAAACTCCGTTCGGTCAATTTTAATGAAATTTTGGGAATAGGTTGTTTTTGTTATGACGAACAAAAGTCTTCATGGGCCCAAAGTTCGCTAATGGACAGTTTCTGAGATATTCGATGTTAAAAGTTGACAATGCGAATGCGTGTCAAGCACGTGTTTAAATGCTTATTATTCGCGTAAAAGCTCCATGAAGCTTAAAAACTGTATAATACGTATATATTCGTCTATATAGTGCGTATCCATTCGTTTGTGTGAGTGTGTGTGTGTGCGTGTGCGTGCGTGCGTGTGTGTATGTGTATACTTTTCATAAACGAAGAGACTAGGAGTAATGCTATAGTAATACTTCTATATTCACGTGGAAGCTGGTCAGCACACTTAGCAATTCTTCTCGATCAATTATATATTTTATTTGAGTTACAAGCGTATGATCGTATCCAAAGTAACTCCAGAGTAACACCCAGAGATAGAGTAGTCGAAACAACTTTAGGATACAGTTTTTCGCGAGTTTTTAAATCAGTAGTTCAAAATATATATAGAAAAATAGCGTGTTTTTAAATATACCTACTTATTCTGTTAGAAAAAATACTCTTCTTTATTTAACATCGTAGTTTAGATATCCAACTGTGAGTTGGATATCTTGAATATTTTATGTGAAGATATTAAAAATGTTATACTATTATTTATGAGTACGTCAAATATTTAGAAAGTTGAAAAATATCATTTTCGTTGGACTTATTGTCAAATACTTCTTATTCGATATTACTGTTCAATTAACCATTCACTTGCAGTTTTTGCTGTGTTATACTCCCGATATTGCTTTGGTCATTTTTTCACAGCTGTTCATTTTGTAGTAATTAGCAGTTGAGCTTGTTGCGATATAAATGGCTTTCAGACTACAAATGCAATGTTAGGAGATATTGCTTTAAATCGACGAAATGACGCAGGTCTTCCTCCAGCAATTGTTACACCCGAGACTCGAACATGTAATAATTGCTTCCAAACTATTCGTCGTGAAATTGAAATAATAGATAGAGCAATTATTACATATTCGCGTCTCAGGTGTAACAATTGCTGGAGGGAGACCTGCGTCATTTCGTCGATTTATAGCAATATCTCCAAAAACATCTACATTTACCACTCTATTTAAATGTACCATATCCCGATCGCAACTATAACGTTGAATTTGTGATCTGAAAGCCATTTATATTGCATCAAGCTGAACTGCTAATTACAAAATGAACACGCCTATGAAAAAATGACCAAAGCAATATCGGGTGTATAACACAGCAAAAACTGCAAGTGAATGGTAATTGAACAGTAATATCGATTAAGAACTATTTGACAATAAGTCCAACGAAACTGATATTTTTCAACATGCTAAATATTTGTACTCATAAATAATAGTACCTATAATATTTCTAATATCTTCACATTAAAATATTCTATGCTATCGATATCGATAAATTACTCACAGTTGGATATCTAAACTACGATGTTAAATAAAGAATATTTTTTCTAATAAAATAAATATATTTAAAAACACCCTATTTTTCGATATATACCCACACGCACGCGCACGCACACGCACGCACACACAAACGAATGGATACGCACTCTCTAGACGAATATATACGTATTATACAGTTTTTAAGCTTCATGGAGCTTTTACGCGGCTAATAAGCATTTAAACACGTGCTTGACATGCATTCGCATTATCAACTTTTAACATCGAATATCTCGGAAACTGTCCATTAGCGAACTTTGGGCCCATGAAGACTTTTGTTCGTCATAACAAAAACAACCTATTCCCAAAATTTCATTAAAATTGACCGAACGGAATTTCCCATAAGGTTTGTGCGGGGTCCAATTTAGTAATTTAACAGCAACAAGTACGTTAAGTAACTGGAGACATAATAATATCTATGTAAAAATAACAAAAGTATTATATTATTGATGTGTTGATTTCTGTTGATTCTTAGTTAATAAACATAGTTTTTAATCTATATAATGCTTATCTGTTGATTTTTAAATACCAAGAATTATTTATATTTCATTTGATTAAATATAAACATTCCACAATAATAGCATCATTATTTTCATATATAAATATATTTTTAAATATCTCGCGGGAATTACAGCGGGATCCCGCTGTAAAGGCGAATTTACCGCAAAATTCCAGCTGGAAAAAAATTATTCCGGGATTGCAAACCCTAGTACGCACGATACCTTCGAATTCAATTTTCTGCCACTCGCTGGAAAACCCATCAAGAAAAGGAAATAGTGGTAAGCAAAAAACACTCCGACAAGGTCGAATCCAGATACCAACTGAATTGCGTATTGGCGGTTGCTGGACACCATAATACCTCGTGCTAATAAACCGCTGCGCCGTTGTCACATTGCTCGATATGAATTAAGTATATCGAATTTAAATTTATTACAACACTAATTATTATTTTTT